CTCAGTGTCGCACCCACACCTCGCTCAGCCAGTGAGCGGGAACCGGTCTGTATGCGGGATCTGAACCCTTGGCGGGAGCGCCACTGCGCTCCCAAGCAGCACACTGTAGCAGTGCGCCACCAGGCCAGCCCGAGCCATTTGTTTTTCTAAATTAATCAATGCTCAGATTCATTTTACTGACAACAGTAGTATTTTTTATAGATAAATGTAAACATCTATGTCAAATAATTCCATTTCAATTCAAATGTCATAAGCAGAAAATCTAAACACTTAGTAGTAGCATTAACACAAAGAAGTTTATATGTATTTTGGGAATCCATTCCTTGGCTTTAACAAAGTAAATAATATCTACGACCAGTCAAATCTCTGATTAAACTGTCATTAACCTGTCAGACACATGAAAGCTGCCCTAATCATCAAGCATTTACATCTTGGAAGACAAACTCAATGGCATTAAAACAGGGTGCAAGCATGTCTTAAAGAAAAGCAAAGTTTATCTGCTGCCAATAAATCAGGATGAATAAAATGACTACAATGTCGTTACATGGATTGTTCACAATCAAAAGCTATAAATAGCACAAGACATTAATAGGTACAGACCATCACTACAAAACACACACACAGATACACACATACACACACACATTCCTGTTACTGGAGGGCACTAGGGAAGAAAAGAGAATCTGAACTCACATCACACTGAAAAGGCTTTTCTCCAGTATGCGTCCTCTTGTGCTCATCCAGGCCTCGCTTCTGGCTGAAGGCCTTGCTGCACTCTGAGCACTTGTACGGCTTCTCCTGCAGTCAATGAAAAGAGATCACCAAGAGTGTGAGTGAGTGACTGAATACTCATTTTGATACTTAGAATTAGTGAACACAGAACTCTCCTTATTAAGGTGTGTGTTGTGGGGAGAAGATTTTATCTACATCTGCAGGGTGCTGTGGCAAATTCACTGGGGTGCCATGAGCTATTTTAAATCTTCAGGGAAAGCAGCAATAATCAACATCTGTGGGACACTAAAAACTACTAGCTCAAGGTAGTTCACAACGTACTACATTTCTCTGGATGATGTCATATCTTTGCAAAGCCGGCCTTTCGGTGGTTGCCGTGATTTAACTACTTAAACTGAATTCTTAGGTTATTTTATTCTGGAAGGGGTGCCATAAAAATTTATTGAGATACTAAGGGCATCATGAACCAGCATGATCTAGATGGGCACCCCTGATCTAGATGGTGCAAATTGTTTACTGACTCAGAGGGATTCCTGGGAATGAAAACTTCAGAACTAAATTTTCAACAGATTTTGGGGGGTAAGCTTAAAAAGCTAGAGCTCGAGTGTGATTTATGTATTTTCATCTCTATTACCAATCTTTGCTTCTGGTAGGATGTTCTTTTATAAAATCTAAGTTACTTTTTAAAAATAAAGCATTTTTACTGTTGGTCACAGACTCTTAAGGAAAAGAAGCATCTCAAAAAGAAGAGGAAAAAATGCCCAAATTCCTTAGTCATTTTTGATACTGAGAACTTAATCATATCACCATCTTTTAAACCTGGATTGCATTGTGAAGTAAATTAATCAGCATTGTTCCATTCAAATGGCTGGTAAGTTATTACTTAGATCATCAATAAAAAGATTTTTTAGGTTTAAAATCTTTTTAGGGCCGGCCCGGTGGCGCACTGCTACAGTGCACCGCTTGGGAGCGCGGTGGCACTCCCGCCGAGGGTTCGGATCCCACATACAGACCAGCCGCTCACTGGCTGAGCGAGGTGCAGGCGCAACACCGAGGGTTGC